CTGCATAGTGTAAATTACCCACCACCCCCGACACTGTCCACCTGGCTGTTGACCTTTTAAATTGTAATTTGTGATATTTGCAGAGCCGCGTATTGCACACTGTGAGGTGCAATTGAAGCCACTTCCCGTATTTTGATTGGTTAACGACATCCATTAGAAATAACCTATTTACATATAGTTGTTTCCACAGTTTTTTATATGATAAGTGTAGCGTTAGAGCTACTGCCAGGAGTTGATAAGTTGATTTACACGTATCGATTAAAGTGTCAAGATTAGTGTTTAGCGTCTTTTTAGGGTAATTGCAAATGGCGATTTTAAAAGTGCCGCTTCACCATGCTATGCAGTGAGGGTGACAACGCTTCACCACAACCACTGGAGTAGTCCAAAAGTACTCCTGAGGGCTTTTTTGGCCAAATTAGCTTTTGAAGATGCACTGAGACCAGGTTCATCGCTAGTGCTGGATGCCAACACCTTGGGGACTATGTTCGACCGGGCAACCAAGGTTAACAGTATGAACTAAGACACCCCTGATTCAACCATCAATTATCATCTCGCAAACCTGTGCACTACAAGCAAACTTGGATCTTGGAGTTCTTGAGATTAACGTCAATATGTATTGGTAGTGGATTGGTTAACGCTACCTTACAACCCTCTAGTTAAAATCCCGTTGCATCCCGAGAAGAGGGGGAAAAGAGGCGACAGAGAACACAACCGTTTATTAGTGTCAATCCAGCCAAGTGGCTTTGTGTGCGTGTAACTCCGCGTGCTTAACAGGCCACTGCTAACAGTAGCCAATAACAGAGTCATTGGTACAGTTGGGTCAGCACACACGCAGCACTCACGCGATGTGGCTTTTTCTCCACTACACTGGCTCGGTTAGCACTACCTTACAACCCTCTAGTTAACGGCCAATAACAACCCGAGAAGAGAGAGAGAAGAGGCTACGGAGGACATGACCCTTTATTAGCGTCACGCTAACCAAGTGTGTGAATGAGTGAGCGGGTGACAGGCGTCTGATAGCAGTAACCAACGCAAAAGGGATGAGTCATTGACACCGTCAGGTCAGTATACAGGGCTCACTCACGCGCGACCGCTGTTAATTTGCTAAAAGTAGTACAGAAGTGAATTCACCTTAAATAGCAGTTACCCGTGGCAAGACTAACCACGATTGGGGCCACCATTGGCAAAACACATTATGTCATCCAGTGCATAATAACACAAAACTAACCACTGAAAATGTCGGAGGATGGTTGGTCGATTTTTCACCCAAATACAGTACTCACTACGCTCACTTCTAGATCACTTCAAAATATCCTGAGCTACAAATGCCCTCAAATTACTCATTAAAAAGGCCAAACGCGTATCCACCAGTTTCGAAATCGAAGATATCTGTTGTTCATCGACGAAAACCACTGGGTTGCCACAAACGCGTGAAGCCTTCAATGAGGAGGCTGGGACTCAGTAGCTATTGAAGCACGCGAAATCGCGTGGAACGAGAGAGGTCTTGGAAGCAGTACTAATTAATCTCGTAAAGTCTAGGTTTTCTGCTGACGAAAGACGCCTCAATGCCGAAAAGCGCATCTTGCCAAGTGAAGAGAAGCGCAGTCTTTGTGAACTGCAAATGGCCCAGCAGTTCAGTGCACGAGCAGCACAAACTCAGGGGGAATGTGATTGGGGTGGCTGTGCTTCGCTTCCAACATGCGCAGCACGCACGACCACATTTAGACTGGTTGGGGTAGGGGCAGGGGTCCCCTTGAATCTATGACTTCCTTGTCAGTTTAATTTTTCGAGTGCTCAAGTAGGCAGTTCGGAATGAAGCTGTTGCTGTACACTTTCGTGAAGGGGAGAGTCCCTTAAGCAGCCTTGACTAAGGTAGTATTCATCGCAAGCCTCAGATGCGGTTTAGACTAAATGCGCAATATTTTGCCTTGAATACTCTTTTTGCAAATTAAAAACTTTGCTCCAATATATTGCACTGAATACAGTTAATTGTTTGGACTACAACGGCTTTATGGTTACATAGAAAGTCAACCAAGGCTGCTGTGTGACTCCGTCATCGTGGCAAACTGTGACGATTGCTAATTTACTTATTGTTAGTTGGCTGATGATGAACTGGGAATGTGTATACCCCTGATCTAAATCCTGTGAAGCCAAAATCGTAGCCCGGTAGAAGTTGCTCAAAAGTGTGCAGTTTACGGAACCGGAAGTGAAAATCAACGAATTATGACCCGTTAGTAAAGTGGTAACCATAAATGTCCGCGTAAACAGCTTACCCTAAAGACCAAGTCAAACACTTGTTTCTGGATCAATTCGTAGCCTTGTACTGCCGACGTCAAGCATTGCAGTTTTCTCCATAACATCGATGAAGATAACTACTCAGAAGCCATTAGCAGAGGCCTTAGCTGAAACATTAACTTGATGGTGTCGCCTATAATGCATCAAAACCAAATCAGTTCGTAGCAATTAATTGAACTGTCTGGAACCTCTTCTTTGAGTTAACAGTTAGGTGGCAGTCAGCCATTGCGCAAGAATACCGAGTAACAGCTAATTATCTCCGAGAATCTGCAGAGAACACCCATAGGTTTCAGCGTCTTCTCGGAATCTAGATGACGATCAGACGTATGGGAGATAGGGCCAAGATGCAGAACGGTGTTGATTGGCTTGCGTAATTCATCAGGTCAGTTGGCAGTGTTAGGTAAATCGTTGAGGTATGCTGTCACACGAGAAATGCCGGACTTAGTGGCATCCATAAATCGTGGGATGATTATTGATGCTACCTTGAATCCAAAGGGTTAGCAGTTATAATGGTGCAGGCCTCTATAAGAAGCAATGGATGAGACTTGGATGTAATCTCTATCTCGAGGTAATGATCAGTAAGGTCGAATTTTGTGAGACATCTTCCACCATCTGGCGATAGTGGTGCTGTTGTGAGAATGTTTTTAGCCCGGTGAAGAAGTTAGCACAGTCGTAGATTGGACAAACGTTTTGCTTCGCCACGATTATTAACACCGCTCAACGCGAGTGTGAAGAAACTGAAAAACTTCGCGTGCAGTATTGGGCATCAGTACCCACCAGATACGACGGAGCACAGGAGACAGGTGCTTTGGTTCCGAAGACCAGCTTAGCTTCCGGCAAGCCTTGAAGGATGCTCAAGGCCGGGCTGAAAGATCGGGGCATTTTCTTTTCATATTAAATAGAAAGTTCAACCAATCAGAGGAGAGGACGAAAACGAGACATCTATTGTGCACCAAAAGTCTCCTATTTATCGCCTCCTTTGAGTTTACCAGGTTTCACACAATGTTGTTACATTTTAAAGTGACAGCCGCAACACCGCGGTCCACAGTTCAAATAATTCCGACATGGCTCCATCAAATTGCAGCATGAAAGTTCGTTACCTTAAGACAAAAAATTTCACCGTCCCAGTGGTTTAGGGCGTTGCTTGGAGTTTTCTACGTCTTTGAGAACACCATAGCCGGTCCACTTTCACAATAAAATTTGGAATTATTTAAGATAATCATACACATTTGCAGAAATTCGGTATTCCTTATAATACGCAATTTCATCAATGTACCATCACCTGCATCGGACGGCTTGCTTCCAGAACCCAAGTTTAGTTCATTTTAGGCGCACGAGACTATCAGCCACCACCCAGCAATCTCGACATAATTCCCATCACCTAGCCACAGTCAAGAATCGTAGTCAAGATTGAAAGTTGCACAACTAAACCTAATGAACATATGGGAGACCACCTTTATTGCGTGTGATTTACTCAAATGGCTAATAAATTTTATTGACTGCCATGGGCAAATCTCACTAAGTTCAGTTTTCTGACTATTAAAGCGTCTAATTTTCCTCGTTTAGTACTTTTAAATCGACATATTGGTCATTAGGGAATAAATTTATGGAAAAGAAAACAACAAAGCGTCATCGACAGGTACTTTCGACTGAATTATGAAACCCATTCTAGCCACCCTCCCCCACTTATGCAGTCAGGGGAATATTACGAAACGAAGAACACTCACGTCGTTAAACGGGTAAATTTAATAGTTAGAAAAAACTGCGAAATCTGTTACATAAATATGGAATGTGCAACAAAGTTGTAATCAGCAGACTACAATGTATTACTGTTGATCATCAAAAATTAATCGCAATCAATAAGGAAGGAATGATAGCTGCGTACGCAAATATGTATGATCACCGAAGTAAAATGGAAGCACCGTGAGTCTGGAATGCCGTGGCGGAAGACAGGAAATTGGAGGATCCATTAACGGAATTACAGTGATTTGCACATGGCTATCTGAAATAGAACGGGAAAGATTATAAATATAGTGGAGGAAGGTGACAGAAGATCGGCTTGATTTTAGTATATTGATAACTGCAAAAGCGGTCTACCTATTTAGCGGCTTTCAGATCTCATTTAATTAAACCAATCCAATATCTTTTCTCGATTTTACGCAACACGACAATTAAGAATCAACACACAGTGCCAATTAGAGGATAATTGAAACCATGATCGCTTGCATCGAAGGTTCTTAGTGCAAGGACACCCTTCCCGAGGTTTCTGTCTACCTAATGCACAATTAGATGGGTAGTAACACTATTATACCAGGCCGTGTACCTCCCTCAACCAGGCTTTGCACTTTGATGTTGTCAACAAATCCAACCTTATTTGAAAAATATTATACTGTATCAGGTGCACGATAATAAACAAGGCTTGGATTTGGATCGATGACAAGAACCTTAGCGGAGTCGAGAGTTGCAAACATTGTGTTGTAGGGCAAACCAGCGGTTCATTTGTTTGGTAAATACAAGGTACGCCATAAACAAAAGTTGATACTTATAACGGTTACATGTTAGTTTAACCTTTCGATTAGTGTTAAAGCACCATCAGCCCAGCCGCCATTTAAAAAAAGCACAAATTGAAGGTATCCATGTCCATGTCTGACACAGGACGGAGGTGCGATGCGTCCGCGTCTTAAATGCAGCACGTGTTGTTACCTTTACAGGAAATCGAGATTACAGCCGCTTGATGGAGGGGGTTTCCTGTGGGATGCCGGAGTCTGCTGATTACTGCTGGAGTGAAGAGGGTCAATTTTGTCGACATCGATTGCACCCAACTCCCGGTCCTCTGCACTAGGTTCTCGCACTTCAAAGTCTCTTGGCTCATCCACTGATACGCCCATATCTTCGAGCATCTGCCGTAAAATGATGATTTGCTCAACCAAGCATTCGTTCTTCGCTGAGAGCTGTATTCGGTCGTTGCGGAGGATACTGTTTTCCTAACAAGAAAGCAAATAATTCGACTTCAACCTACCAGTTGAGAATTTTAACTTTACAAGTCTTTTGTAACAAGAAATGCCTAAACGCAGGCAACCCGACTAATCCATGATCCCTTGTCAGGGGAAGACACCTGAAAACCCGCAGTACAAAGAAGACGAACCGGTTCTACTCAGGTCATGTGGACTAAGTGGATGTACAATACCAAGGAACCCGCATAGTGCACATGATTTTGCCCAATTTTAGATGACTACATTTGAAAAATTGAAACGTCAAAACCCACTTCTTGAGCTCATTTTCAATAAAAAGGACAACTTAAAGCACTCTTGAGTGGGCTGCAAATATTACAGGAAGCAACTTGGATTGACGACAGTTCTTCGCTTCATTTGACCCGGCCAAGCAAGGTGTAGCAGTTTTACTAAGATTATATGGGAACTTTATGGAATTTAGAGCATTTGGCAGATGTGATGAAATCATAACAACTAATTGCGGTTCAGTTTGACGCATAAGTGCACAGGGCGGAAACAAATACGCACTCAATTAAAAATTAGTGACAATTAGGCCTTCCTAGTAATAATTATTACTTGAGTTTCTCCCAAATACCTTTAAGTGTTGAGTTATAATTAGGCCCCATCGGTACAGCGTCTGATAGAAGCGATTATAAGCGGCTCGTTTTCATCGGTTGTTTGTTCCTTTAGAGGGACAATGAATTGTGCTAACTCCATATAAATGGTAAGTTTATTAACAAACTGTGGTTTATTCAAACTCAGTTTTAACTAATAACAGCCAAAGAAGACGTTAAGAGGAATTTGTCGGTATAAAATACATGATTAACGGGCTTGATACACAGGACATGCAGGATGGCGATGATTTCTCCAACGCAAATTAGAAAGAAGGCTTTTAAGTATGCGATTCCTAATGATTTCTTAGATCTATCTCGGGAAAACGGAAGCACCGAATTGTGTTAGCCATTTCACTAACACTCAGACATCCTAAAGTTAGCTAGTTCAACGCAGATGTCATTTAGGTTGATTTAATCGAAACAGCTAGGAAATGGTGTTAAATAAGATTTGATTGTAGTTGGGCATCTTCTCTACATAAAGTGAAACCGGAACAGGACTCAAAGCGTATGGAGCATAGTGTAGATACTCAAATGTAGGCCAAGGCAATATGATGGATTAGCATAAAACGCCGCAAAATCTAGTAAGGATTCAGCCATTAAGTAGAACAAGCTTACGAACCACCAATAATGTTTACATGCATCATAGCAACAAACATTAAAATTGCAAAAATAAAAATATTCTAAACCAGTGACCCTGTACTGATAGCCTATTGTGAAATAGAATCGTCTTGCTTGAAAACAATCGGCTAAAGGCTGAAGAATTAAGAAAAACTAGACACGATCATGTACTGAGCTAAGCCAGGTAATACGGGTAGACACATCTTGAATGCGGACTCCACAGATGTTCCGCCGGATGCGCTTTTCTTTTCAACACGGAAATTCTTACTTCAGAATTTGACCATTTTGGCAAATTTTTTGCCACAATGGAAAGGCAGCACAACTAATGCCTTAACAACGCTTTAGTAACAACTTGTTAGCGATTAAATCAAGGATTTCGGGGTTGATAAAGGGAAAAGTAGCGAAAACAGCGGTGAGAAAAGACGAGCAACTGCAACCGCCAAACGTGCTCGTGCATATTTAAAAATATTGCAGGATTAGGCCAGAGGCCGTGTCCCCTGAATGTTTTCGCAGCTCTACATTGCTACTTAACCCAACACAATTTTCTCAGTAGTAGGTGGTGAGAGAGTAGGAGACGTGAGAACAGCAGGAAGTTAAGAATGGAAGGCGATAAAGGATTAACATATGCATAGAATGTCTAAGCACAACTTTATGCTAATGAGAGTCACACCGTGTGCTAGGCAAAACAGTCCGAGTCCACGGCAAAGCCTTGATGAGGTTAGTAGCACGAGAACTCAATATAACCACTCAGCATTTACTACGGTAGAGAATGATTCAGTAACTGCATGGCTACGCTCAAAAACACAGATGGAATAGGATGAGATGACCAAATCACACAAGGCCTGAAACAGTAACTCACACCACTTAGATTTGCAAACACCGGCGATGTTCAATTGGCGATTTGAGTGGAGTGATACCCGAAAAAAACATTCACGACATGAGAATATGCCAGGGCATCTGAAGCTCAGGTTACACAACCAATCACGAACAGGTGCAACGCTACCGGTAATCACTTTGACGAAGCACTCACAGATACGTATATACTAAACGATGGGAAAAAAAGAGACTACATTGTTTACGCTCTTTTTACTGGGTTGGAGGCGGCAAACGGCATTCGAATTTTTAGGCATCAGTTAGACAATTAAAACGAAACATATAAGGAATATTGCACAGCCGGTGACTGTAGACAAAAGTGCTCATTCTATACGGACGTAATGACTAGACTTAATCTGCACGGATACCTTGTAAAAATCAAGACCACAATTTTGCGCTTTTATTGAAGGAATAATGCTTTTCTTACTTCCTAATATGAGGGGTCAGGTAGTGGCCGCACGAACATGGAATAGTACTTATGACTCACCTAAAATCACGTCTGGACAAGGCCAAAGAACTTAGCGTCTACTTTTAAGGGTGACCCTATTCATAAGTAAGTGTTTGACACAGTGATCTGAACCGGAAGCATGGCACCTAGTTCCACAATACCAGTAGTTAAAGATTACAAATGAGGCCCAACCCTCTGTAATTTAAACTTATGATTTCCACAACATCGTACCTCAAAGGCATAATTTTAAAAGAAATTTCAGCCAATTAACAAAAGAACTCAAAAGTACTTGCTGACGCAATGAGTAGGACTATCAGTAAAAAGACCGTGGTTACTTTCAAGCGGTTGATAGATTCGACCAAGCTTGCTCTGGGTAAATCTAGTCCCGAAAGCAGAAAATTAAAAGCCGTATAAAAAAGGGGGTTAAATGAGTAAAGCAAAACAGAGTGTCGAGGTTAAAGTACGAAGAATAAAAGAGGAGGGTCGATGACAATACTTTGTATAGAAGATCCTCGAGGATTTTCAGTTGTGACGAAGGAATAGAAGAGCGGCGATAAATGAAAAACAGTTACCGAAAGGATGATTAAAGCGACTTACAGGAATAAACATTTTCATTTGCTTGATATTCCGCTACCCAGAAATCACAAATTTTCCAAAAGATAAACTTCTCTAGAAGAGGTCTCCGATACCATAAACTGAATATTATAACTGGGAAAATTGTGAGGATGCCAAAAATGTGGGAATTAGATTGTGCCACGCCACATTACAACAACGGTGCATGTATTGGAGTTCCCAGTTGTTCTTCATTTCCAAACGGTCTGTTTTTAAAAAAATACTTAACTGCTATTTATTGAACAGCTTGTAGAAGCCATAATTTTTCAACAGCAAGACGTAAACAGCATGAAATTGATAAGAATGTGGTGAAAAAAAATTACAGAAAGTTAACATCAAGTTATCCATGGTTATTGGTATGAAAATTTTGCGGGATCGCTGTACCAAGGGAAATTAGATATTAAAGGTCAATTTATTATACGTGGATTCGTGAAGCATAAGGGTATGAAAGTAATTCCAAGAATGATGACAAAAGTAGCAGAAAAAGAACAAGTGAACAAATAAGACGGTGAATTCACCTCTCTGATCCGGCTATTCTGCTTTTTTAGGTCCACATTTATGTCCATAATATCATTCAATTGTTCTGAAAGAAGCTCTACTTGATATCTAAATTCTATAAAGAAAAGGCAATGCCAAACCTTAGAGTGGTATTCCTATTTCTTAGGAGATCGTTCTCATCGGTCAGGCTTTTGGTAAGTTTGTCGTGTGGTTCGTTCAACTCAGTCACGACAGCCTCACCGGATATACAAGCACCCTTCGATGAGCAGGCCCCTGCAGGAACACTGCCGTTAAAAGGCGTAGTCGATCGTCGTTTATCAGACTTTTTTATTCGTCGGATAAACTTGAGCTTATTCGAAAAAGTGCTTGGTTCAGCCCTCATGTCTGTCTAAAAAAGTAATGATTTCCAAAACAAAGATTAAGAACCACTAAGGAGTTCATATCCAAGGTACTCATTGCAATAAGTTTCACAACGAAATAATTCCAACTGCTAATGAACAAGCAGGCTGTTTTATTTGTTGCGAAGTTCACGAGGCGCAGACATATTGCACACAGATTTTCCTTTGACCGTGTGCATTTGAATGGACTGTGAGAAAGGTCTGCAGCCAACCAGAGACAGAGCTACACCCAGTGGGGAGGATTTGGATAAACGGAGTCGGAAAAACTGTTCTGGTCAATGATTAGTCAATACAGTCTATTTTACTGCACCAGGCTTCTTCATACTGGGACTCGGGTATTCTACGTTGGAGGCAGCTAATGAGTTTTGATAGCACTATTCGAATATCAGCCCTTTCCATAATGTACACAACAGAGATAACGTAGCTATTATTGCCCTGTTAGATCTATAAATAAGACCCTTTAATAGGAACCATGTACAGATATTCTGGCAACGAATTCTTTTTACAGTGCACCTGTGGCTCCGACACGACTGCAGCATTTGAACGCTATGCATTTAAGCGTAAAAAATACACTGAACAATTTCGATTGCAATTCGCAGTATTGGGCAACAAAGGATTTAAGCCTGACTTTTAATTATAGTGTCAGTGTTACACTTTTGTCGCAACACACGTGTACAGTTAAAAATCACTAGAATTGACTTTTTAAAAGAATTTAGTAAGAAGAACGTAGATAAAGTTTAACAAATTGATTTGGAAACAAGTCATCATTCCAACCATGCATTTCATAGGTTTGATGCAAATTCACATTACTAAAATCAAAATGATAATGTCCAATTGATGCTTTTTAATAATATACTTACGCATTCTTGGTAATTGCGGAAATTAGATATTTATAATATTTCCTGAAGACAGCTTACGAAAGTGACAAAAATTAGCATGAATCTCTTTTAAAGTTGGCTCACTTATCAAAGGTAGGCAGATAATATTAATGTCAAGTAAAAGGGCAAGATCAAGCGCTCAACTTCCGCTTAAGTACAATGATTTCACTTTTCCATTACTGTAACTCGTAATATTTATTAATAATAAAGTGAAACTTGTCGGCCTTGGACGAGGCTACGAGCATATAATTTGATTGCATTGTGTCACGCAAGACAAGACATTGAGCTTTGCTCATGCCTGGTAACTTCTCCCTTAATTTTTAACATTTTAGGCCTCCCCAACAATTAGTGTATGGATTGTCTCCTGTCTCCCGAACTCTATCGTTCAGTCTACGCTCTTTCTTCTCTATTCGTCTTGTAATTGTGTTCCAAACAAGGTTTTCTGGGTGTTCCCTCTCTCTTCATCCCGCGCTTAGATCCCAGTGTTTGACCGGATTGCATGCCTCGCGCTGACTCGTCAGTCGTTCATCTCTTTTCCTAGGTCAGATTCCTGCTCGCGCGTTACATGAGTTTCTTCGAGGTGACATTTGTCAAAAGATTTTGGAAATCTTCAGGCGCATATATTTTACACTTCGTATGTGGAATTCTCGCCGATCTAGCTTTTTCTTTATCCTTTCGTTTCTTTTCACAATCCCGCCTTTCTCAAGGCGTACGGGTGGGTCTGAGGGCAACCCTGAATCTTTTTACGGTTATCCACTTCCTGTTCCAGGACATTTCTTTCTCCCTGAGCTCTAGCCCTTCGGCGTTCGCATATGATAGTCACGAATACATCAGGTTATATCTGTCAGTCTTCCATCGTCAACCTAATGGTCAACCCTGATACTGTGGCTCTCTCAGAGGGACGCACTGATAGTAACACCTATTTAGGTACCCGTTCGGTGGGCACGTTACATAGTACTGATTTCGGTTGGGCTATTACGCCATCAAATGGACGTAATAGTGCAAATCGATAAAACCACCACCAGATGCATCCACTTAAAGTTTCGATGCTTTGCACCACAAATCAATCTCAACCTTCTTTAAGAGTGCTGTAAAACGAAGCTCTGGGAAATCGCGTGGCGAATGCACCATTTCCACCACCAATAATGTAATTAAACCAAGAATTATTGTACTAAACGGATCCCAAACTATATAAAATAGTAACAGCACGGAGACCAAGACAGGAAATCGCACAAATCCCGAGGCGTACTTTAACCGGACACACAAACCACACGCTGAGGACCTTATTGAGTAGCCAAAACATCACTACGAAACGGCAATGTTCGTCCCAAGCAAGTTCAAAACGCAAGCAAGTAATTCCATCGTCCGGTCGTTGAGTCATAATTCTCAACCGATCAGATCAAAAATCACGTTCAGTTGGATCCCCCACGCATGAACCTTACCACCTCAGACTCACATATTCAGAAGCATGCTAACTAAATACGGAAATAGCATTCCAAAACAGCTGATTTGCAAGTGGCTCTCATCCTGTCTCTAATCTGAGTAATTTTACTCACATTTCGCCGCAACAACTAATTGAACAAAATATGTAAGATAAATATCTTTACTCAAAGAAGCACCACACTAAACCGACTGTTGCAAAACGGGCAAAATCTGCTGTTTACTTCCCGACGCCATTGTGACGGGCGACCTACAATTAAAATAAACGCATGGTAATAGACAGGCTTCAGAAGGCAGTCAAAAAATAACCACTGACGTAATATCTTTGGATGAATTTGTGAAAGGCTTCAAGCTTATGCGAACGTCAAATCTAATTAACGAATAGAGGGATTTTGAGAGGATTAAAATTGTAAACTACTGAAAGCAATGATGCGCCTACTTCTTTCCGTCTTCAAACCCGTTTTCGAGAGGCTAATGGACGTGATGACAAAATTGACACACGGTAAAACAGTCTCTATAGGTATTAGCGGAATGACGCGAAATTACGGCTAGTAACTGATTAACGAGTTCTTGAATTAGCCCAATGACGATCTGCGTTTGACAGCATTCTTACGAGAATCCACAGCTCTAGCTTAAAAAAGGCATAATCGCCAGTCACCGGTTGATATTATTAGCCAAGGGCTAGGTTGGGTAGTTGAGTACCAGACAAGCAACCTTTGTGCGGTTAAAGGCAGGCTAGAAACAGACACACAATAGAGTGACGTAAAGGGCCCGAGACAACAGTGTAAAACATTTTAGACAGTTTAATACATTTAGGTGCTATGATTGGTATGACTAATAAAAAGGTTAACGAGGAGGGTTTTAAATTTCGTTGCCAACACTACTTATGCTCGACAGACTTATTTCATTGACAGATTATACTGTGCTAAGGTCTTCCAAGCTAAAATAGCATTGATAATCATTTAGTCTATAAAGGAATTTCATAGCGTTATCCTTAGGGGTCTGGACATAAAACAACACCAATAGTACGACGTATTTAATAACTGATTAACGCAAAGAAAAACTCGTTAGCAAAACATACTCTCGGGGGGAAGGAAAACACTACAACGTCGACAAGATGGACACTCGTTGAAGCACGTATCCATACAGGGCGCGAATGTGGATGCGCACCGCACTAAAGGCGAAAAATGAGAGATAGAGTGAAGGGAACAATGGCATGATTTATCAAATACACTCCTACATACCGAATTTGTGACCTCTTGGACAGATGCTGGAGAAAAGATCCGGTGTCAGGCGTATTGGGAAAATCTGGGTTAAGGACAAATCAGTGTTCACTTTCCACGAGGCCAGCCAGTTCCAAGAGCGGGAACCTGATCACTCCTAGCACAAATAAGACTCAACGTATACCTAAGGCTAACCACGTTCGACATGGTAATGTCAAGAAGCAGACATGCATAAAACACAACACTGGGATCTAAAACTTGGTGTTGGATCAACTGATTTGCAAAAAAAATAGTTTGAAAAAAACCGCAGAACATTGATTTTTTACCTTTAAGGTTCTGGTGCCTATGTTTTGACATTAACCCAAAAACACGAGCAAGCAGCATGTGGATCAGGAGCCTCCAGGCCAAACACAAACAAAACTCTGATGGTCTCTTTCAGTTTTGACGGGATTGGCGCTTTAAGAAGCATTTACAAATATCTCACAGATCAGTTAAATTACGAAATTAATGCCAATGTGGCACACACTGGTAAAGCAAACTGGAAGCAATTCAACTAGATATTTAGACTTGACCACTCCCAACACAGACTACTTGAGAAGTATTCACCCGTGGCAATTTACACCGAAAAGGATATCATGCTGGCATATAGGACAGTGCAGAAGAGTGGAGCCATCGATATCAGAACTTTGAGCGAAACGTTTTGTGTACAGTTTTTGGGCGACGTTCTTTACGACCTCGCTGGCTCGACTTAATCGGGCACAGAGAGCCGGTGCTTCCACGTCTCCTACAGTAGCAGGCGACTCCAGAACCCTTTGACACAGGATGGCGATCCGGAAAACGAGAACGCAATCTGAAAACCAGGCCGCATCAAAATCGCTTGATTACATAAAGTCAGAACCAAATAAACCAAAGATGACAAGGGCTTACATGAGAGTCAAGTAAACAGACATGCAGGATTTTTCAAGAAGATATGGAATTTTGCATAAAGATTTGCCACCAAACCCCTCTAAGCCCCACATCGGAGAGCTACCATTGATGTTGCCCAATTTACCGAGCAAGAAAAAAAGTTATATCAAAAGAAACGACAAAGTTCGGGGCACCTTGGCATTGCCGCTGTACTTCGGTCCTCAAAAATAGCCTATAGCAGCGATCAATTTGGCGCAGGGCGAGGATCTGGTCGAGTCTCTTCACTTGTGCCTGGAGTCGCTGCTAAAACGAGAGGGCAAAAACAACGGAGAATATTTGTGCTAAACTAAAACCACATCTTGACCACGGCTTGCTCGATTAAAGACGCATTCAACCCTCGAGGTTTGAAGAACCTACTTGTGCCGAATGGGGGCTGGGGGTAATTGGAGACAATGGAGATGTTCGCATGGACTTCAACAGCAAAGATACTGTAATGCAGATGATTTGATTACCTTCACATCTTCTGAATTCACAGATGCCGTTCCAAGAAGAATTGCGATGGCCCTAGAATAAATGAACATTCATTTTGGTTAAGAATAAACACTATACACTGCAGAAGAGTAGATCTCACCAAAAAGTTGACTAAATCTCATAAATGTTGTGGGGATTTCACAAACGCCTCTCTTGACTTGAAGCCATACTCGTTCAACTCGTTCAAAAGTTATCAAAGACGCGGAATTCCCTTCGACTTAACATCTTCCAAGCTTTCAAATTATAGGGATCACAAAATTAAAAGAAAATGACTATATTTTTCCATTAATGGTTTTCCTAATTGGGAATTTATTTTTGATTTTAAACCAGAATACGTGGATTAGAGCAGACACAATATTAACTAGAGAAAAAGTACCACGGCAGACATTTAAAATACGTAAAAAGTCATTGGTCTAAGGTTTGTCACATTGCAAAACATCACAAATAACACGAACATGATGTAAGGTGTTTGGGGTGGAGGCGAGTCCAATTAGAGGAACAAGCACACGAGGCTGTGAACTAGTCAAATCATGAAAACTCGTTACCACGACCACGAAAGAAATTCATTTCGAATAACTTCATGACAGATTTTAGCGAAAAAGAGCCCACTATTATGAAATGTACCTTCTGAACTGAAGCTTATGTAGTTCTAACTTGGAGGGATCCTGGGTGTTATTGAGGATCACATTGTTTTGGTAGGCGAGGAGTTTTTGGAACCAGGCTTCCGCGTCCAAGTTGACGACGGGGCGTTCCGTGTGAAGCGGTTTCAAGAGCTTAGGCGATCGGAGGAGGAGGGCGACCTCGTGCAAACAATCAAAGTTTGTTCGCATCGGCGCACCAAGCGATTCCATCATCGCGATAACAGCCGTTTTCGGCAGAACACTCAGAAAAACCAGCTGGAAGAATAAATATTGGATTACAAAATAACTAGGATCAAAAGGTAACACACACACACACACATTTGTTAATGAAAACAATATCGAGCAAGTGTTTCTAGGCCAGAATAATTGGTAACGGCAACTCGTAAAAGGAGCCGACCTACATTTAATTGTTATTTTTCTCAATGAGCAACATCGTTAATGTTGCTAAACTTATTGATATGAAGCACAGAAATCAATTACTAAATTTTAAACGAAAACCGAAATGTGGAAACTTACATTTGAAGTGATGGTGCAGAGGGCTGGGGCAAGAGTGCTAAAATGATGGAAACCGCATTAACGACCTAGCATTTGTCTGAATGGTCGGCTTAGTTGTAGATCTTTCCGATGACCTACAAACCTTTATTCCAGTTAAAAGGGACTACACACAGGATGTACCGTCAGCTTTGATGGTTTGGCCCACGACTTGTGCAGGACGAATTAGCCAGGTTAAAATCAGATCTACACTTACGCTGGCCTCAAAAATATTTCTGCCAAGTTAAATAGTAAGGAAACGATTTGACGTGATGCAGGCATTCACAAGATCCACTACCGAGAACTGCTAGTGTCTGGTGATGAGATACCGAACAAACGAGCATTTGGAGCAACAAAACTAATTTATTGTAGGCATATGAGGTAGAAACATTAAGGCACAAAGCAATGAGAATTACAACGTGATTCAGTGACGATTGCATTAGTTAAAAATTACATAAGTGACATTGCAAGGCGACAGTTGGAAAGGGGTTGCGTAATAAAAAGAAAAGAACCAGACGGCATGCAAACTTACGACTCAAGAAAAGCAGCATAAACCCCGTTCGGCGTCAGATGTAAGCCAGAAAAAAATCGGTGAAAGTTTCTGCCACCCAGAGTAGATGCTTTTGTGAGGACGGTGAAATCAGGATTTTCTGGGAAGACAGAAAGGAAATGGTTTTACCGAATGCACCGAAAAAAAGATAATCTCTAGCGGATAACTGACTCATCGCAACATTGGTTAAGAGACGCTTGTAAAAAATTGCAATCTAAGTTTAGGCTTAGCTAAACATCACAGTGGTGGAGATTTCATCTTAGTAAAAACAAAGAAATGTTTCTTTCGACGTGTAGCGTCGTCGCAAGTTGGCGCAGCTTTATTCTAGGTTCGAACTAAATAGGACGCCGTGTCAAACTTACTATTGACCTGACTTGGGACCGGAGACTGCGCAATGATGCCGTCAAGAGAAGAGATAAATAGGTGATTTCTAAAAATACGGACACCTAAAACAAAAATTACGGTAGGGCCATTAAAATGAAAAATAAAGGTTTCGAAAACCAGCTTCGTACAACAAAGGAATGGCGGAGCTGATGCCACAATTGATAAACCAACGAGTACGAAGAATGGTAACAAGTTCAATCAGACGTGCATGGGCAAACGAAAATAGAATTGCCTGTAGCGTATGGAATAACAATCCACAAAGGATGCACGATCCACTATACTCCCTTGTTATTTTTACTCAGTAGCTGGATGCAGGCTTGCGAGTGAAAAAAGTGTCCATCTCTATTAGGTTACCAAGGCTTGATTGTGTGAAGCAAGGATTGAAAAGACCGGCAGTAACTGCAATTTAAAAATTCGAGTTCTTAGGTTGGTAATAAATTGGAAGTTTAATAAATCGTAGAACTAGTTTCCCTTATCTTTACCAAAAGGCAACATCCGGTGCATAAAACTAGTGAGGAAAAACGGCTTACCCGAAATGGGTTTCAAAATCATATCGCTGGTAAAATTAGCAACAATTTGGATGTTCTTCTGATTAAGGACACTGGCTACGATAAGGCGGGTTCCGTGGGCGATTGCGAGGACGTTGTCCGCGAAAGCTGCATCCCCCACCGCAATTAGACCACTCGAGCACACGCAAAGATCCACATCGCAGATCTAAACGAGGGAAAGCTTTTACAAAGACGACGGTAGAACTGCGCGAATGCGGATATTGCACGCCTGGTGCCAAAAAATACCTGCCTGCCGAAACAGTTAACCGTGGTGGTTTACGTCTAGAGGGGCTATCAAAAGCTGATGACGCCAAATATTATGATTGTTATTAGCTCAGATTGGAAGGATATTTAGAATGTCAAATGTCGGGACCGCTAGTGAGCCAGTGGTGACAATTCAGAAAACCCAATAAGGAAACCGAGTTTTAACGATTGTGGCAATGTTGGAAATATTCCACTGGGCGACATAGTGTATCTACAACGTGTAGTGGCTTGGCGGAGGAAGTTTACTAGTATAAATGTGTATAAACTGTTGTATTATAACATAACCACTAGTCACATGGGAAAAATTACGCCAAGATTTCTGACGAGAATTCAAAATCGTGCAACAGGGAATAAATTAGAACCTAGATTGACAATTTCATCTTGTAAAAATGAATCAATTCTAGCAAAATAAGAACATACAGATCAAGTGCGTCAATAAACATACAAAAAGTCGTTTCTAGATTAGAGACGCGGTTAAACAAGAGAAACTGCGTTGAAGAAAGTCCCTCACATAAGCGACTTATTAATACAACCAAAGCAAACACACATTTTTAATAACTAGGCCTACAAATACAGCCATAACACAAGCACACGTTTGACTTGTGTACTTAGATCGGTACGTTTCACATAGTACACACACTCAAAATGCCGCAGCTTGCAAGGCGTTTGATTGCGTCCGGGGACCAGAATGAGCGTATGTGCCAGTAAACGGAGGAATCAAACCGTACGTACCCGTTTAACGGAAAGTTTGTTCACGATTTTGGCGTACGCGTGATACGTCACGCAAACCACCCGACTGTTAGTAAATCCAACGACGAGGATAACTAGAAGGCAAGAAAAATAAAAAGGTCGGGAGGCGCCCTGCCGATTCAGGCAACTACGGCTTTGAAACAAATAGGACTGTCACAAGGCAAAGTAGTTCACTAATAAGGGACATTTGGAATACAAGAATGCTTTCGCGGGATCATTATTGGCCCAGATTCACTCAGCTGTTGACAATAATGTCCACCTGCCCTCACTTTCCACCGCGACCCCTAGCAGTTATGAATACTCCACTGTGGAAACTTAAAAGTAAAATTCGACCAGTTTTGATAGAGCTTGGAAAGATTTGCGCGGTTGCGTAAACTAAAAGGGAAACAGAAAAAATGGAAGAAAATGACAAGATGTTATGATAGCTACTTCTGAAATGTCAGCGAAATCGACGGCATTTGGAGGCGTGGCCACAACAAACCCAAAATAAAAAATATGGTTTTGTATCTTATGGTTTAGAGGAGAACAACGAAGGTTTGGGAGAAAACAGTGTTCAGGATACCGCAGTCGAGACATGGCAGGACTCACTCGTTGTTGCATTAGGAGCGACACTTCTGGGGGGGGCAGGGTAATAATTCAAGGATAAAAGAAATAAGCAGATCTAAAAGGCTTCTCAGCGTGTTTGGCTTGAAACTAGGGTCAATGTTTGATGAAGCTTTTGGGAATGGCAAGATGGGAGGCGGTTTAGCTGAATCGTCATGTCACCGTGGCGATCGATATGTGAACATTCTCACCAAGCATGAGCGAACGTGAAGCCAATCGGTTATTTTGAATACACTTAACGCAACGGCGTTCGTTCAGAGATCGATTGGCAAGTGTTCCCATTTAAACTGCCGCCTTTCCACATCAAAATACCACGTTTTGAAAACCACACTGCGACGTCTACAACGGTGACCCCGTTCTGGCCTTCTACGACCTGGAAGTCCAGTTTTGAGGGACAGTTTAGGGAACGGACTGATCTCAGACGCTTCTCAGTTTCGATTATTACAGTAATCTCAAAGTGGATCGCAATTCCCAGCCGTAGAGCTTGCTGCAGTTCTCAACTGCCCCTGGTCTGATCTTCCATCTCCCAACCTTGACCTTCTTACTGCTCTAAGCCAAGCTTTCGACTTACTCTCAGTCTCATGTTGGCTGACCTGCCTTGATTTTCCACCGACGATAACAATTGATCGTTACGCATTATTATTACTGTAAACAACCTTTCAGATAGGCTGCGCCGTCAGCGTTAGCAATGGGAAGAATCATCTTCCGACAATACCTAATTGTCTCATTCGTGTATCCTAGAGGACAGTTTGGTTTAATTCTCGGCGGCGGCACATCGCCTCGATCACCTTCTGGGGAGTACCTATCACTGTGTTTATGCACACTTTTGAACACTCAAAATGAAGTAAAGGACTGCAACAATAATCAACAGACGACAACAAGGACACTTGCTTGTCCCGTCTCTCGATTGGCTCGCCTCGACTCCCGCTTTTTCGTCCCGTTCCAAACGGACAACGAACACACCTGTGGCAGACCTTTCAGTGGCAGGAAAGGTCTGTCGATTCCTTTTAACTCGCGCCTTTGTTCCTGACACCATGTACAACAGATCATGCAGTCAACCTTTCGGACACCCTGGTGGAAGAAACACCGATTCATCCCATTAACTTGAATCATCTCCACACGACGTGCCTCTATCCCCTCATCTTTCGGCGAAAACCAACCGCCACAAATATGGCACGGATATGACATGGTCTCGGTGATGCAAAATCGCCTCGATCATCTCATGGGACCCTCAACCACCATGTGTCTGCAGCATGAGACCAACTTTTCAGATATCTGACATGAGAAAAAGGTTGACATGGCCAATCAAAACACAGAAACGACCCAACCCTCGATATAATTATCATGACTATCACCAAGTAAAGAATGTTCGTCATAGTAACGAAAAACCATTCAGTTATCAGGATGAAAGGTCCGTTTGTTACTTTCGGCAAGGGGGAGAGCTGTGGCGGCAAACATCAGAACATTCCTGCCATAGGCGAACCTGGACCAAACCGATCATCTTGAATCCATTTCACCTGGGTACGTTTGTTCGATCTAAAGTGATGCCCTTTCGCTCTACAGGACCACGCTTTTGTTGTAGTAGTGAATCGGCTAAGCCTCGTGTTGTCTACGGTCTTTCCTGGTCGAGCTGTGCCAGTGTAGGCCGCAGGCTTCGACATGCCAATTGTTCGAGAGATGAAGGTCAGAGCTCGGTATATAAAGACATATTCAATGCAGTCCATATGGCGATTTCAAAAATTAAACAAAACGAACTCTCCTTGAAAAAAATAGTCTGATCACAAGCCTGCGAAATGGTGAGATTCAATGCATCGTCTTGGGATAAAAGCTGAACGTATGAGCCTTGAGTGTACAGTGGACTTGTGTTGACCGAACGACAGACAGCCTGGCAAATCAGGTTGACGAGGTTGCCTTCCTAGAACTTAGTTTCCAGTTTTGGGAACCAGCAGAAGGCTGTCGTAATGGAAGCTGCTTCACGCTGACGGCGATTGCTGATACTTTAGCGTGATTTGTACCCGTGACGACAATACTTACTTCAGAGCTGAATGCGTAATTGAATTATTCGGAGAAAGGGAGGGAGGCAAGCCAAACACAAAACTCGGGGACTACATACGGACATCGAATTAAGGATTATGTAAAGCCGCTAAATGTGAGCAGTCAACGGGTTGTGCATAGCGCTTCAACTAACAGGGTGGTGCGAAGTGATTGGATGAAGTAGTTCTAGAACTTGCAAAAAGCATGATCATTAAAATAGCACAAAAACCAATTACTAACTCACTATTTTCACAATCGATGTCAATTACTTTGATAAAGTTTGGCCTCGCCAAGTGGTGCGGTGGGTCGAATGGAACAGCGTAGGTACGATCAACAGCACAAAGGCGAATACTTCGTCTGGCAACCAAAGAAATAAGAGGTCACAGATCACAGTTCTTAGTCACTTTTAAAGCTACTTTTTCGGTGAGGATAAAACCATACATGACTACCAGGGAAGTACCCAATCCAGGCTCAAGACTTTAGCGTATTGATGATAAAATACTACTTAAACTTTCATTGGGTTGTAAAAATTGCAACAAGGGACTGGCGATGGACACAAGGGAAATTGGTTACGGATTGACAAACATGACTCACTCATCGACGAGGGGAATGGTAACATCCCAGAAGGAAATGCCCCCAGATTTGTGAAGAGCAACTAAGAGGCAATTGCATCGGATGGTTTGGCTTTTCGACTCCCTCACCCTGAGAGACCACGTGGACAGCATGAAAGAAGATTCGGCGAGGGATGAGAAAAAGTCTCTTACGGTGCGACACTCAAGTGGCCTTGTCACAGCCTCAGAGCTACGCAAAACCTTATCCTCGTTCCCACCTCCATCGGGGACTTCGAGGAACTCGTATCGACATTCGGCCAAAAGCTGCAAACCTTGCGACCGCCAGAAGTCGAACCAGTGGTTTGAGAGATTGGCCACACACGTCCATGCCTCCAAATTGCGCAGGCAAATCAATAGTTGGTGACTACCCGTCACACAACTAAATACAGTCCTGTGAGGGTAAGGGTATGGTTACAACTTTTGCACATTTACTTTAGGGCTCATACATCATTAGTTAAATGAAAATGGCACAGCAAGTTATTGCTGATAAAACGCACAAAACAGAGTACTTGGGGAGAAACTGGGATTGGAGTTGAGTGCATAAAAGTTATACGAATATGAAGACAAGAATAGTAGGTGGTCAGGGCCGGAATAAATCACTAACCATAAGTTGCAGCATCACACTACGATAGAAATAGACACTACCAGCTAAGCGGATAACCGTTTTTATGACAAAAACCGAAACTAAATACCACTATTTTGTAACTTTAGAGCCACATCGTGAGACGGTTACGTTTCTTACCGGGAAATTTTATCCACTCCCGGAGGGGACCAATCAGCGTTTCTGAAAGTATGGCAAAGGTAGTCCCTTGTGTCCGTTGTTCTCGTTGATGCGATCAGTGCAACACGCTCACAACGAGTAATAGCATACCGTGCTACCTCTCGGGAGGAATGGGCCGCGTCCCCAACGAACGTGAATGGATAGTTCTGCAGGAAGTCACCTGGAGGAGTGAAAAATTGCATTCGACTGCCTACATAGTTTGAAACATCCTCTTCATCGTCACTAGTTAATCCTAGGTTTGGGATCTGAAATACGAAGAAGGTAAATATGTGCGACGGAATTACTTCTATTTATTAGGAATACGTGATGCCAAATCACTGAGACACATCAGTTATGCGTTATAGCAGTTTAGGATAATTGTTGCGGTAAAGGCGATTCACACGAATTCGAACGCAAACAATCTAAACAACGATATTAATTATCTTTCAATAAGAATTTGGGCTCAAAGCGGATACTTATTACACACAAAAAGAATGTCAAATAACATTAGAGCCGCAGAGGAAATTCGATTGTCAAAAGTTCGTCATTACATAATGCGACTTACGAACAAGCCAATAGAATCCTTAAAGATAACAAGGAACTCGTTATCCCCCGATACAGCAATTTTGCCCACGGGAACCTTCCTTGCAGGGAGAGTCACTCTGAATTGTTCATGATGTCCAACCATAGGTTCAACTTAAAAGGCAAATTACAACTTTATCGCATGGACATACGTGCAAACCGACGGTATTTCAGATGTAGACGTGCTCATACTTGCCAACAGAAACCTACTTCCACAAAGACAATTGTTACTTACAAAACGATTTGAAAAAAATCTGGAGAATGGTGAAAAGGGTCGGTAGAAATTTTAACATAGAAGAAAGTGGGTTATTGTCAAGCCCCTAAAATGTAGCATAATGAAACAAATTGCTTCAAAGTGATCTCTTCAAGCACACGATCTGCTAGATGCATAGCTTACCATTAAAAATGCGCTGTTAAAGCTCTACATCAAAGTGAGTAAAAATCACAGAGGCTGAAGGACTATTCCTTAGAATGGAGATAGCTTGCGCCTCAACTAAATAGTCTGAAGCTACAACAACGCCTTCAAATATGCCTACCGGTACATATTTTGAAATATAACAGATACTAGAAGCCCGATTATAATCCATTCATGACCAAATTACGAAGAGCAGGTGCATACAAAGCGAAAGCACATTCCAGAGCCTGCGAATAGATCAAAACCTATTAGGATACACTAAAGCGGTGCCATCGACAAAGCAAATTCAGGCAGATAATTTGGATGTAAATCAGTTTAATATAATACCGTAAGTTTATTATGCTTCTGTAACCTGATTTACTGCTAAAAGACACGTTAAGAATTGGGACGAGGTTTCGGAGTAAAAGAAGAGCTGAACGGACGTGGATGAGAATTAATTTCCGTACAAAAACCACAGAGGAGTAACAGGCAGAAGAGGCTAAAAGACTATTATTTAATAGCTAGCATTTAATTGATGAGAACTAACAGGTTTGAAATGCTTGTCCCAA